TAAAAATAACTAGATAATAATCACTATTTTTATTATTATAACCGAGCATAAAATAATGTCTACTTTTTATAAAATATCTACAAAATGAATTTCTTTTTATAGAATCTCTAAACTTTTTAAAAATCATTTTGTAAATATTAAACAAACAGGCCCAAAATCCATAATGAGTATATACAAGAAAAAATGGGCATGGTATTTATTGAGAAAATAATAGAAAATCATTTGAGATGGTCTAAATATATATATAGATGGGAGGCACTAGTGAGGAAAGAGAAATAAATAGTCTTAAGCCCAGTGAAGAGGAATAGGGAAGGATTAAAGAAAATAGAGCACACTCACAAAAGTTGTTAAATAAAACCTTTTGGTTAACAATATAACCAAAGGCTTGGTTATTAATAGAGTACAATGACACAGTACAATCTATATAACTTATTTTATATAGTGAAATAAGGTTTATTTTTGTTGTTGTTATTGCAATGGTAGTACTATTAATGAAGGAGGGTTGGGGTTATGGCCTATGCAATTGATGAATCAGCAACTGCTTGCCAAGTAAATTTGGAGGCTAATAGATTTAAGGGAGAATGACAATTAAGGACCTGCTAAGAACATTAATCTCAATTACGAATCGTGAAATTTTGAAATCCGAGTTAAGAATCATGGTCCTTAATTGTGATAAAAAAAATGAAATTTGTGAGGTGGAATTCATTATTACCATTTAAAAATTCACTAACCCAACTTAAGAAAATTTGTAACATATATTGTGAAAACATGAAACCCCACTTGAAAATGGAATGTTTAAAAAAGCGCCACTTGGGAATGCACTAACTAGACTTGGAAAAATTTTTAACATATATTGTGAAAACATGAAACTTCACTTGGGAATCAATTGTTTAATAAAAAAACCAATTTGGATAAGTCACTTTTTATTAATGATTCTCAAGTGGGGTTTCATTTTTTCACAATATATGTTAGAAATTTTTTCAAGTCTAGTTAGTGAATTCCAAGTGACGATTTTTGTTAAACATTCCATTTCCAAGTGGGGTTTCATGTTTTCACAATATACGTTAGTAATTTTCTCAAGTTGGGTTAGTGAATTCCCAAGTCACGTTAGTGAATCCCACCTCACAAATTTTATTTTTTTATCACAATTAAGGACCATGGTCCTTAACTCGGATTTCAAAATTTTATGGTCCGTAATTGGAATTAATATTCTTAGCAGGTCCTTAATTGTCATTCTCCCTAAATTCAAAAGAAGGTTCGTTGTTGTACGAAACTCTGAAGATTAAATATGTAAACCTTAAAGCTTCACGTCACGCATAATACAATTACCCTGCAATAAATCTTGGGTTTGGAAGAGTATTTAAAGTCCTGCTAAGTTGGTTTCTATTGGAATTTGGGCTGGAAGAACCTCCAAATAATTGATGCAAGGTTTGGACAAGAAAGAAAGGACTTCAATGAAGCAAAACTTGCACTACAAAACAATAGTTTACACACTTTCTTCTTGACTTTTCAACATTCTCTCTCTTTGTAATGTGACTCACTCATTGCACACTTTTTTTTTTTTGGCCAAATCACTTATTACACACTTACTTTAGTTTCTTCTCTTTTTTGCACACTTCACTTTTGCGTGCTTGCTTCACTCTCATAGAGCAAGCACACAGTCTCTTCTAATGCTTCTTCACTTTGGCTTCTCTTTCTCTTTTAACACTTGCTTGGTGCGCGCACACATATTTATACTTGGAGGATGTCAATGAGAGTTTTGCGCAGAGGCTCTAGAATTTGCCCGCCGCCATTCCCCAACTAAGTGAGTTTAAGTAGGTGATAGCAAGAACATTCTAGGACTATCTTATTTTACCGTCATTAGCTTGCTTCTTCAAAATTCTAGAGTCATCCTTAATTATTTTATCTATATTAATTAGTCAGTGTCCTTCAACAGTTTCTTTTAAATTCAAATGGAGAGTGGGTAATAGGCAGAGTATTTGTCTGGGATAACCTATTTGGGTGTCTCATGATCAAAGATACAAAGCTACTTTTGAAACTTTCCTCACTAAGGTTTCTGATCTCATTCAAGTTCGTTCGAACCCTTGGCTTCCCCTATCTTGTAACAACTCTTCTACAGAATATATAAAATCAGGCCTCTGTTTCACAAATTCTTGCTAATCTAATTTCTCTTGCAAATTATGAGGATCGGTTGGTTTGGACGGGGAATTTTCATGGAAGTTATCTTGTTAAAGATGGCTTTAAGCATCTCTTTAAGACGAACCTCAATTAGGAACCACCACAACAGTAATTTTCAGTTAATTTGGAGATTACTTCTCCCCTATGAATATCTTCTTTTTCCTTTGGAAATTGCTTAATAAAGCTACTCCCTCAACAAATATTCTTTAGAATCAGCATCCCAGCTACAAACAATTATATTATGTTCGTTTGGATTCCAAGATAATGAATCTTTAGTATATTTATTCACCATATGCCCTCATACTCGAACTATCTAGTTTCGTGCTCTAGGGATCAGGTCTGATGATCTAATTATTGGGCAAGATTTATCTATCTTTCACAATTTGATTTTGAAATTGATTGATGATAATCAGAAGGAATCACTAAAGCAAGTCATCATCATTGTAATCTAATTTGGAGTTGCAAGATAAACACGAGGAATATGGAAATGATTCAGAAGGTTTTTACTTGCAAGAAAGAAAAAGAAGCATCTACGCCTTACTTCCATTTTTCATGTTTGAGATCAACTGTGCTTAACTTTTTTTCTTTAATAATAGTTTTTAGCTTGATCCCATTGCCATTATATGTGGTCGAAGGATACATTTCAATCTTTCCACATCATCACGGCAACATGGTGTTGTCAATGAAGATCTTTTTCACTTGCTTTTTTTTTCCCCCCTTCTTGGGAACTGTTTTACTTCTTTTTTAATTGTTTATAGGTATCATTCTATTAAAGAATTGTAATTCAAGGTACAATCAAATACTAAATATGAGTACCTCTTTCAATAAAAATGTAAATCTTAATTCATCAATTTGTGAAAAACTAACTCTGCATGTGTTTGGATAGGAGAAAAAATCGATTCCCCCCCTCCCAAAATTAATTTTTCCAGCAAATTACCCAAACAGTTAGAAAAGGACAAAAATTGATTCTGAGCCCATACGCACGTTTCCTGTGAGCTACTTCCATCTACTTCCTACCAAAAGTTGTCAAAAATGTTGGGAAAAATTACAAAGACAAGCCCAAAAAAAATTACAAAGCGCATAATTTAATAAAAATAAAAATAAACTCTCTTCTTTTTCTTTTTTTTCTTAATAAAATTGAAACTTTGTATCTTCAAAAAATTAATATTTGATATTTAAAAATTAAATTATATAGTAATTTATATAGCTAAAAATTTAATTTTGATAAAATTATCCAAACATCTTCAATTCTGTTAGAATTAATTTTAGAAAAATAATATCCAAACATATTGCATTATAATATAATTAATTATGATTAAAATCTACCACTTAATCAATTATTTTTATAATATATTATACCCAACTGAAATCCAAACAGCACTTCATTTGCTAGACTCAACTGTCATTGGTGCTTTACTTCTCTCGTTAAGCTTCTTGCCTCCCTTCTTTTTGGACCTCCATCCAATTGAAAGTTAAACTAGTATTGCGATTTTATGATTTTATTTTGATTAATTCATATTTGCCCCCTTTCACCAACCCAAACAAAAAAAAAAAAACAAGAAAACTTTTTGGCTAATGGCTCCTCATTTAATAGAGCACCTCACCATGGGCACCTTAATAAAGTAATCAGCTTAAGTAACTTATAATCTTTCCAAAAAAAAAAATCAAAGAAAAAAGTAAGTTCATAAACTATATAACACAATTTAAATAGTCCAACCCAACCTTATATATTTTGTTTCCTTTTCCAAATTAATATGTCAAACAGTAAAAGGTGTTCACAGGCCCATTTTAAGTCATATGATCTATGAGCATTAAAGCTACTATTTCCATCTTTCAATATTTATGTGACCAAAAACATATTTGACCAAACAATACTAACACCTTTTTTTTTCTTTTTGAATATAAGGAGATGGACAAAGCCATGAGAGAATTACAAAAATCAAGTTACATTAGAGTCCAAAATAAACCTACAAGCTATAGATGGTTCATTATAAATAATGAAATCATAATTTTCATGAGAAGTTTCACGCGCGAGCAGATCAACGCATTTGTTTACTTCTCTAAAGTCATGATCAAGAGTGACTAATCAATCTCTCAGAACAAGTTTTTTGATTTTCTTGATGTTTGACATTAAAAGATGACTACCAGAAAAGTTGTGCTAGATAAGAGAAGGCTTTCAAAAATTCAGTATAAGTTGATCTTAATAAGTTAAACATTCCAACCAAGCTAAAAACCTTTTAAAATACCTGATAATTCAGCAGCAATACTAGGTTGGAATACTAACCCATTTCAATTCATACAAGTTAGACCACCTTGTTTTTAAAACAAACCTAAACAAGCTTGCAAGGGTATAGGCATGCCCAACCCAATTTGACCCCATACATAACGAGCCAAGCACTTCCTCAAGCAAACACACCCCAGCAGTTGCTCAATCCTAAATCAAATTATAATTTATTACCAAAAATAAAAAAATCAAATTATAATCACTTCCGATCCATTCATGTCAATTTAGTTAATTTGATTTGGTATATAACCGATTTGAACCAATTTTAAACACCCTTACAAACAAGCACCAATCCATACCATTGCACAGGACGTACAAAAGCTTTAAAGATCACATAATTTGAAATAATAATAAACATTATACATCAGTTTATTTTAGTTTAACATAGACAACGATGATATTATTTCAAGATACATTTATTCTTTCTTCACATTGCATGTCTTGTCTCATATTGACCAAGGAATTTTAGATATCGCACGCCTTAATACTTGGGCAAGATTTGATAGTTAAGATAAAACACTGAATAAAAATGTCTATATAACCATAAATCCACCCTTTGTTGACTATTGTGCATAATTTTCTAAATCGAGCAACAGTACTACAACGAATAAATTCTCTTCATTGGTAAAATAAGTTGGCGAAAACAAAAGATACATAGTGAAACCAAGGTTATATATATAATATATATTTTATTATTATTTTTTTTCCTGGTTACTGACTAAATGAATGGGTTGTCGAACCTGATCGGAAGACAAACTCTCAAGTCTCAAGCCTCTTGGTTGAAATTCAGAAAAGGAAACACTAGAAACTCGTAGTAAAAAGAACGAGGCCCAAAAATGGCTTCATGTCCAAACCAAAGTCAAACCTTGATGGGCTCATACTTCTCTCCAACCGTACCACCTTTTTGTTTCTGAAACTGAATATATCGCAGTGTGCTCGCAAGGAAAGCATCTGCAGCTGGATCAGGGGTTGCGGTGTCACTTTGCATTTCAGTCATGATTAACTCAATTAGGCCTTGGATAGCAGCAACGTTGACTTGTGGGTTACCCTTCTCAAAGAAGTATAGGTACCTTGCAAAACAAGCACAGCATGATTATTCAATTCAACTTTCCGCTAGAGTTGAATTTTAAATTGAGATTGTGGATGCTACTCTTACTTGTTCAATATCTCAATGAAAAGCACAACTGATCCAGTGCTACCTCGTGCTGCATTTGCCATTTGTTGGGCAGCATTTGCAATTCTTAAAGCTCGCTTGAGGCATAACAGAACTCTGGTTCAAAATAATGATGAGAAAATGACCCAAAACAAGAGTAACTGAAAGCAAATTAATAAATAAACGCCCATCATTATTTCAAACTTAGACCATTCCCCATCTGCATTTAATCTGCCTCTCCAAATACTGACGAATTAATATCACATAGGGCAACTACACATGCATTGAATGGAGAAGTTTACAATGATAAGTGAGAATACGTAAACAGCAGAATTTGAGGAACAGTTTCTGTTGAAATCTGCAATTTGGAAATACCTCAAACTCGACAACAAACACGTCCATATAAAAGATTTGACCATTCCTCAGGACTCTTGGGACTCATAATGTCAGAGAGAAACAAACCTCTCTCCATCTTTCAAGTCATCATGATCATCAACCCAAAACAGATGTGAGCATGCATAAACAGCTCTGCATTGATCTGGCTTCTTCAAGAGCTTTGCTGAATACTATCCAATGAATTGAGACCACATAAGATTTTAGAAGAAAACATTCACGAGAATTACATAAAAAATGAACTTAATAATCACCCCAGTGGCCTTGTGCGTTAGCGTATCCCTATTCTCAACACCAAAGACATGCATCCTTTGAAGGGTTCCTATTATTAAATGCATAGCAGTAACCTGCGATCTGGAATCCTAATATAGCCACACAAATATAAAAATGAGAATGGTTAACACGAATTATCACCATTAGAAAGCTTCCTCCTCCAACCTCACCCCTATTTCTCACCCTTAAGGTGGAGATAGGAGGTTGAGTAGGACAGCTAAAGATGAGCAGGCAACTTACAGAAATTTCTTCTTCATACAAAATATAAGCTTGGGTGAAAAATTCATATGCAACGGGCTCTAGATCAGAGTCATTTGCAGCCTGATGAAAAGAAACATGATAGTCAGCAATAATATTATTAAATATTGTTTTGGGGCACTTAAACAAACATTTTCCAGCACCTCAGCACATAACAAGTACAATCGTAGAGCCAATTCTGGTGCAGGAACAGCTGACAGAGTTTCAATTGTCTGAATAATTAAAAAAAAGTTATCTAAGTATCAGATACACCTGCATATCGCCAAAATTCTTTGCATTTAACACAAATCAAAAGCAAAGAAACAATTGAGTTTCAACAGTCAGAAAATATCAAATAGGAATTCTAAGGACTAGGCAATCGACATCACCTGATTCAAAAGCTGAAAGATTTTCTTTGGTGATGTTGCTGCATCTCCAAAAGGATTTTCATCTTGACCTTGCAACTGTCTGACCAACTGTAGATTGTACAATGGAAACAATTAATAAATGCTCCTATTTGCTAGAATAACAGTAATAAAAGTAGAATTGTTGCAGCTCTAGTTGCTGCCCGTAACGCTGAATCTTTATAGCATGATATTGGTACACAAAAATTGAAACATCCTGATATTTTGGCCTACTTCTTATACAGTAGCTCATTGTACATATTGAATATAAGGCTTGGCCAATTAATTATTCTCTTCCTAGTAAAGCCCTAGTTAGTTGTTATCTTAATATATCCCTAATATCATGGGATCAAATCAATGCTCTTTATTATCTTTTATTTTCTGTGTCATTGATTGTAAGCTTGAGGATCTGATCGCATGATCATTTCTAGCTGACCTCCTTATATTGTAACCCTATTTAGTATCTATACAAGTAACAATATTATCTGAGTTCCTTCATCGTATAAAAGTGTCAGGCTGTCTCAAAATCCTGTAAACTTTGGCAAGTTTGGTGCCTTCCAGGGAAACATTGTTGACCCAAGCCCGAAGTCACATGAAGCCTAGTCACCAATGCATTTCCTCCTGCTATAGTGGGCCACAAACTGAATGGCAATAAGTATAACTACTTGCACTGGTCCAAAAGTGTTCTCTTGTTTGCGCATGGAAAAGGTCAAGAGAAGTACCTGACGGGTGAAGAAGCAACCCAACAAGCAACCAATGATCCAAAATATGATACATGGTATGCAGAAAATTCTATGGTAATGTCATGGCTTGTCAACTCCATGAACCTAAAGTGATGAGATCACACACCCAAACACCATCACACCCGTTTGAACAGTCTCCCAGAACTTGAATTTTGTCATTTTTAATGCTGTTTCACAAGGTTCTTCTGTGATGACCTATCTTATACGCAAGAATCATCAAAGATAAGCTTCCTTTGTGATAAAATTCAAACCTTTTTGTCTCCTCAAGATACACTAACCTAGAAATCATAATCCTTAACTCTATTATGGCCAACAATACCAAAATCACACAAATAACCCTAACGAATACGGAAGGGCTCCAAGGAAGTATACAAACCATGGAGTTAAGGAATTCAAACAAGCTGTAGATCACAAGTTTGAAGAAATTAAGAGGGCTCACAAATGTTTGGGTAGACAACATGGCACTAAGATAAAATTTTCAAAAGCTAAAGAGGATCATGATGTTTTGACAACTCAAGAAAATAGTGCCCCCTTCAATCCACCTTCATCTATATGTCTTACCACAAAAGGAATATTAACAGCACTAGTGGTCATGAAATAGGGCTTTCTATTGTAAGTGAAAGCATAGTTATGGAAGAGGTCAAGGCAATAAATGAAGCTAACATAGATGTTATAAGGAAGCAAGAGAAGGGCGTTGAATCAGAAGAAATCTCCGTGAAATATGAAGGAATGAGTCTTCAATTGAATCAAGATTTAGAATTGATGGCCAAAGATCATGAGTGAAAACCCTTCGAGATTTATCATGCTGGAAATCTTGATAAGATAGGTGTTCAAGTTCATCAGATTTCTACTACACATCGCTCTCCTACTTGTCAAATTCCTACTGCACATCACCTGGATGTTGTTGTGGTTATGAAAAGGCATATTGTTTTTCCATTTCATGATAACCTCTTCAACTACCTCGTTCATTGGAACGGTTTTCCAAATCAGTATGATTAGATTGCTTGCTCTCTACAGTCTCATTTTTCACTACCAAGTCTGTTAGAATTTCAAGATTAGATGCTACTTAGATGAATTCCCGCACCTTACTTTGGCAAGTGGATTTACTTCTTGGTTGAGAAAACCCCTTCTATAAATAGTCTATGATAGTCTCTTGTATGTAGACTTATTTTGATAAATGAAATACTTTTGTTCAGCTACCTAACTCTTATCTCTCCCACGCTCTGTTTTCTCTTCCCTTCAAGTTTCTGTTCTATCCCCCTCCTTTCCTCCTCTCTAATTTTGAAACTCCCAAATTCTCCATTGTTGCATCTTAGTTATGTGTGACTGTGCGTTGCATCAACAACAACAACAAGCCTTTATCCCACTAGGTGGGGTCCGCTACATGGATTGCAAGACGCCATTGTGCTCTATCATTTATCAAGCTTTTAGGAATATTATTAATTAAGAGATCGCGTTCAACAACTTCCAAGAGTGTTCTCTTAGGCCTTCCTCTACCTCTCTTAATCGGACTCAAAGTTATATGTTCCACTTTCTCACTGGTGCCTCCCTTGGTCTTCTTTGTACATGCCCAAACCATCTCAATCGATTTTCTACCATTTTTTCCTCAATAGGTGCCACCCTCACTTTTTCGCGTACGTGCTCATTTCGAATTTTATCTTTACGTGTATGTCTGCACATCTATCGTAACATTCTCATCTCTGCTACTCCAACTTTATACTCTTGCTGTCCCGTTAGAGCCTAGCATTCACTACTATATAATATTGCCGGTCTAATAGCAGTGCGATAAAACTTTCCTTTAAGTTTATTAGGCACCTTACAGTCACAAATAACTCCTTTAGCTTTTCTCCAATTAAACCACCCAGCTTGAATTCTATGTGAAATATCTCCACTGATTTCGCCATCATTTTGAATAATGGCTCCCAAATATCTAAACTTTTCCACTTGAGGTATAATTTGATCTCTTTCACTTCCAAATTATTATCGAATAGTCCTTTACCAAATTTACAATATAAATATTCCGTCTTACTTCTACTCAGACAAAAACCTTTCGACTCCAATGTCCTCCTCCATAACTCAAGTTTGCAATTAACCTCTTCTCTTGTCTCTACTATAAGAACTATATCATCCGCAAAGAGCATACATTTCAGGATTTCCTCTTAAATATGTTCTGTCAAAACATTTAAAATCAAGTTGAACAAATAAGGACTCAGAGATGATCCCTGATGTACTCCAATCTTTATAGGAAAATCCTTTGTTTGACCACTAAGCGTTTTTATACTAGTTTTTACCCCCTCATACATACTTGTATAGCTTTAATATAAGCAATCCGTACTCCCTTTTTTTCCAACGCTTTCCAAAGCACTTCTCTTGGTATACGGTCATAAGCTTTTTCCAAATCAATAAAAACCATGTGTAGATCTTTATCTTTAAAACGATACTTTTCCATTAATCCCCTTAGTAAATAAATCACCTCTGTAGTTGATCTACCTAGCATAAAACCAAATTGGTTCTCAGAAATACTTGTCTCCAATCTCAACCTGTGCTCAATTACTTTCTCCCACAATTTCATTGTGTGGCTCATGAGTTTAATCTCTCTATAATTAGTACAATTCTGAATATCTCCTTTATTTTTATAAATAGGAATTAATGTACTTCTCCTCCACTCATCAGGCATTTTCTTGGACCGTAAAATCACATTAAATAACTTAGTTAACCATCTCACCCCTTCTTCACCTAAACATTTTCACGCTTCGATAGATATACAATTTCATTGTGCGTTGCATCAACCAGGTGGGAAAAACATTAACTAGTGTAGGATCAAGCACTATACAACAAATGTAGGTAACCACATGATAAGTACCACCATGTGTATATTTGAAATTATTAGCAAAACCTTTAGAGAAGAGAAGACAAGAGGAGGAACAGTAAAAGGCAGACGTTTTGGTCCTCCGGTCAGTATGTGCTTCCTCACAGTATCTATAATCTGCAATTAAGAGTCATGGCATAAATTGATGCAAAAGTTGAATTAACAAACAAAGCAAACCTCATAATAGAGTAAGTAAACACTACAATTTGTATTAATTGTTAAGCAGTTACAGTCATCAGATGAAAAATCATAAAACTTGACTTTGAATCATTCAAAGCAGCCAATCTCATTCTTCCCAGCCCCATGACAAGCTATGATTTAGGTAAACATTGTTAGTGCAAAAGATCAGTTTATTCTGACCCCATGTCCACAGCACTACAATGCTTGACACGTAAGGATCTATTCAAAATTGGCAAGGGTCAATGTCATGGGAGGGAGAAAAAACCGTAGCAGCAGCACAAAAATACCAATATTAAAAATTGGAATACTTTGAAACTATAAACAGCCACTAGGACGACAAGTTGCAGAGGAAAATATAATGTGTTTCTTCACTCATTAACATTAATTATGAACATCAGCAATTCAAACACCTTAAACATCTCTTCTGGATCCTCATTATAAAGCATCTGGATTAACCGTGCAACAGAGTTCTGCTCCTCTTGGAAATCGTCTTCATCCAACTAAATGGGGAGGGAAAATGTTAAAAAAGAGAGATGATCGAATAGATAGATATTTTGTCTTTACTCCTAATAGATTAAATTTAAATGTAAATAGTTGACTTTAAAAGGAATGTGTAGAAGTAAAACTAAACTGCATTAAAAAAGTTTGACAACTAGCAGTGAGTTGCAATAACCTCATCAGTAGGAGTTCCATCAGAATCCTTAATAAGCCCCTTGATCAGTTCAAACAATGCTTCAACCTACAAAAGAAACAGCCCACATCAGAAGGAACCTCAAACAAAGAGCAGAATTATAATAGTGCATACCTTTTCTGAAGTAGAAATGCATGTCCTGTTTTTCATCATGCTTTGAATAATAACACTGGCCATGACCTTATTTGTAGGAATATCAAGGTATTCCATGACACGAGGATAGTTTGAAAGCTTTAAGGCAGTCACAACATCATTATATTTTTCTAGTGGGGCACTTAAAAGAGCAACAATCTGCTTTGTTGTCCTGCTGTCGCCAATCTTCCCTTTGCCAGAGAGTTTTCTCACACATGCCCCCTGTCAAGACAAGTGAAAAGCAAGAACAGACTTAGCTGGAATTGAACAAATTTCATCCTTTTCTTGCTATAGACACAATCATAACACAAGCATAAACTGTAATATCATTATTTTCTGGCATATGAGGGCTAACCAAGATAGTGTATCCATGAAAGAAAAGGAGTATGAATCTATCCTTGACGGTTCATTTAGAATTAAACAAATCATACAAAGCAACCAGTTAACACAAATGTGCACAAGCAGCTTCAATAGATACTTACCAAAACTTGATCTGCATAATCAAGTCGATCAGAGTGGACATGAAGAGTGAAGGTCAGAAGAGAAGAATATAGGGTTACAACTCCAACAGTATGCATGTCAGGCTGAGCTTCTATCACCTGCACAACCATGAAGATTTGTAACATTCCATAACATAATATAGTAAAAACAACATAACATAACATGAATGTGGAACATTTTTCTTCTTAAATCTCAAGGGGAACATCTATATTGAAAATATATGAAAGACAACATAAAAATTCACATATAGCAATGACAATGAAAAAGACAATACTTAACAATCCATCCAATGCAAATAAAGATGAATTATGAAAGGAAAAAACAATGACAAACATACCTTAGGAGAATCCTACACAAATAGCTATCAACATTTACTGCTCATATAATTGCCAAAAAAAAAAAAAAAAAACCACTCCCCATGCATGGAGATTCAAGTGAAGAGGTCTCAAAATACATCGACTAAGCAATATTACTGTATATTTCTTCCAACAGAAAAAAATTCAAAATGTAATTTTCTTTTAGAATATACAGATCATTAAGGACTTGTGTTCATCTCTTTAACTGAATACAGGGAAAGAAGTAAGCATAATATCCACAAAGATTCTATCAATCAGTCTCTGCGAAGTCTTTGGCTAAATGTCGTAGTTTCAAAATCAGATAATCCATTGAATCCTGCAGATACTTTTCCATTCAACATTACACGATGGAAAATGCATGCATAATAATATCCCTCATTCACCTTGCTAATGGCATTGCTGAACTTTGAAAATGCTTCTACTTGCAAAAACTCAGGTAACACCTCCGCACTTGAAGCAGCATAGTTTGAAAGCCTTTCCATTAATTGGGAGAGTACCGTCTTGACGTCCACAGATGGCTGTGAAATACGGTAAACATTACACACTAAAAAAACTGAGGAAAAATACCTACTAAATCTGCAGCATAACATAGCAATTGCTCATTTCAATAAATAGGTTAATGCAGTTGCAAAAACTGTGCAATAGCTTTGGCCAAACTTTTACTTCCTTTAACCAATCAATTAAACTATGGGGGAATGATTAATTTGTATATCAACCTTATCTAAAGGAGGTTATAAACAAAGGTAGCCCAGAGAAAAGGATGCTCATGATGCTTCTGTGGCCCAAGAGAAGTGACAAAAATAACACCCCAATGAAAGCAGAGGGTAGTGTATTTTACATATAAGTAATTATTTACAATGCACCATTAAGATGCATGCTATGAACCACAACAATAGAACATAGTGCAAAATGCATCAACACTGGAACTTGATTGACAAAAAGCACGTCAAATATGCCAGGGAGGCTTCCTTTTATTGCACATGAAAAGGGCTTTGCTTCAAGACTCTTCTCTTAATCCATTTATCTGAAAAAGACTCTTATCCTCCACTTGGAATGGGAGGAAAAGAGGGAGAAAAGAAAATTAGGGGAGATAAGTAGAAGAAAAGTCAATTTTCCTCCCTAGCATAAAGATATTCCTCAAGTTTTTCTCCACCCTACGGGGAAATTAGGAGAAAACAAGGTCGAAAATGTCTTTTTCCTCTAGTTTCCTCCCCTAAGCTTCTCTCCTCCCAATTTTCTTTTCATTCCAAACAAGACCCTAATGATCAATGATGGAGAGATACAATTCAGCCCATACTCAAATTCCAAATTTATGGGTTTAAAGCTAAAGAAAATTTGTGAAATAGTTTGGGAGCCCTAAAAATGCCTGGGCTATCAGGAGGGAATATAAATGAGGAGCAATTGTCAGTGATTAGCAAGTACAAATTTGGCGATTATAGTTGTGTTTTTTTTTTTTTTTTGGTTCTCCATCTTCTAGGCTTGTTTGACTACAATTTTCTCACTGCTGTATCTCTTCTCCCCAGTCACAGACAATGAATTGTAAGAAGAGAAAAAAGTATACCAAGGTAAAAAGAAGTACAATGTCACTAACCTGAAGTTGAGGGCAAGCACCCAACAACACGTCTAGAGTTTGCAAGTGATACTCATCAGGGAAGACTTGAATTATGCAATCCATCAAGTAAAACTGGGCTATCTCATCCTTGCAATTTACCACCTATTCAAAATAAATGAAGACTAAGAATGGGTTTTGCTGGTCAACAAGCAGGCATCCGTACATGTAGAAATGGAAATAACAAAAAAAAAGTTCAGACCTGCTCTAGTACTCTGGGAAGTACAACATCTTTGTACATTTCAAGATCAACACCCTCTATCTGACCAAGTACATGTAGATTCTTTCCCACCTAATAACAGATCAAGGATGAGAAAAGCAAGAGGCGAGCCTTCTATAAGCATTTGATAATGTATGCAATCTCATTGCAGTAAAGTGAACCAGGTATAGGCTTCAGATATTACAAGATCACGCAGCTCACTCCTTTCTTTCTCCCGTTTCTCCTTATCTCGGGCAGGGCCCTGCAGACCAGAAAGCCCGACAGCAAGCCTCAACTCAGGGTCAGCTAAGAGTATGAATGACTCATATGCATAACTACACCTGCATGACCAGAAATCATGCTCTCATGATATATTGTACCCTCATGACATGCAACTATTGTGACACCATGCATGTCCAAACATGAGCTGTAAAAATGCAGAGATATCTTAACCAACCTGGTGTTGCATCCGCACCCAAAGCTTGTTCATCTCAGTGAAATTTTGGAGCACAAACTCTACAGCATCTGTTACAGTGTCTGAATCCCTGCATTATCAAGTTCAATCTCAAAATGTCCAGCTTAAAATTAATAAATAAGCTATGTTCATCAATGAAGACAAACTACAATCTCAGTGAGCGGTGGAGTGAGAGGAGGAAGAAGAGGAAGCCTAGAAATGGGAAGGAACAAAAAGCGAGGGCGGGTGAGAAAGGAACTGAGGAATACCAGTAATTCACATCATGCATGAAAGAAAAGAAAAGAAAAAACAAGATTAGTTATAAATTAGGGTCAATGGCATTTAGATTAGGTTTGACTGAAAGGACTTAAGGAGACAAGGTAAGTGGAACACGTGACTACACTCCCAATGTTTAGAACTGATGAGTCAGCTCACTATATCTTGTCGTCTAGCAGACTCAGAGAGGATTGATCCCGCCAAGAGAATAGAAGTAGGGGGAAATTTTGCTTACTTACCCTTCATACTCAGAACCAATATCAGGCAATTTATCCCTACTGATTTGAGAAAGGTAACTTCTAAGGAAGAGTCCACGAACAGGGTTCTGGATGCCACGGCACATTTCCACAAGATCCTTAAGAACATCCTTAGCAGGAGCTTCCTTGGATTTGATGTAAACAGATCCTACGGTACAGAGGAGATACCTGATCATGAAAATCAAAATATCAAAATATTTGGATAAAATGTTACAGCAACTTTCAAATCATCAAACCTTTATATAGCAAATTTCTCTGCTTCAGAGATTTCAAATAAAATGTCAAAGAAAAGATAAGAAAATAAATCAGCTAAGGAAACAAAAGTAGAATTTATTGAAAGCATGCATTTGTGCAACTTGAAATCAGGACACCATTGTAGAACAAAATATAAGGAACTATAGATATGCATAAAAAGAAACAGCCACAAATTTTTAAGTGAAATCATATAGGATTTAGGAATGACTTACAACCGAGGCAAAATGTTGCCAGCATGCTGAACAAGTTCATAAAGATCAATTATGGAGCATCCACGACGAGTCTCTTCCTGGAAGAAGATCTCAAGCCTCCTTAATTGATCAAAGGCCCGCATGTCTAAAGTACACAAAAAAGATCCAATTCATAAACAATAAATTAGTTACAGCTTCGTATTTCAGGAAGCATTGAAAAGGAACCAACATATATCAGTTTCAAGATCTAACATACATAAGCAACAGAAAAACAGTGTGGATCTGACAGAGGGTGAACTTACAGAGTTCGTAGTACTTGTGAGGGGAAAGCTTGGAAGTCCGAAGCTCAGAAAGCATCTGAGCTGAATACTTCAAAGCATCCCTGAGATTGTTCGAATCCTGAGACAAATCCCAGATTGAATTAAAAAACAAAAATTTGGTCATGATTGGATTTCAGATAGCAAATTCGCACATATTAGGGTTTGATAGAGTTACCAGTGCACGGTGCATATAGAAGGCATTCTGTTGAAGGCCAGCGATTCCGGCAGCGAGGAATTTGTCCTCGTCTTCAGTACCATCCAACATCATTTCCTCTATCGAAGTCTCAAGCTGTGGTATTGGCGATGGTGAATCTGCAGTGTGCCCCCACCCTATCGAAGTGTTCAAATGCTTCCTCTCAGGATTGCTGACTTCGCTGTGTACGTGTTTGGAGTCCGCTTGGGATTTACGTTTGGACGAATAATTTAAGACTTGTTAACGTGATTTCAAAAAATATTTTGTCAAAAAAAAATTAAATATTATTTTAAAGAATAAAAAAGTAAAAATATTTTTTTAAATATTTTGAAATTATTATTTGCAGAATAAAAAATAATGTCAAAAATACTATTTTATTATTTTTTATCATTTAAAAAATATTTTACAAAATATTAATTTTTAAAACAATAAAACAAAATAATTTTAAATAAGCCCTTATTATTTGGCCAACATTTTTTCTTTTGCCATTGGATGAATAATTTATTAAGAAAATCATAATTACAAACCTTGTCAAGTCATTAATGATAATGAAAGATATCAAATTATTGAAATGTCATGGAAAAGTTATGATCTTTATTTAAAATTAAAAAATAATTATTAAAATACCAATGAAAAGTAACTCGTAAATTTAAATAAAATTAATTGTGAATTTAAGTCGGGTTAGATATGAATCAATTAATTGAAAAGTCAATTATAAATTGATAAATAATTTTATGAATTTATATATTATCACTTATGAATTTAAGAATAGTTAATTTTAAATTTTAAAAAGGTTACTAGTGAATTTATGCAAATTTAATTGTAAATGAATGGATAATCTCATGAATTCATAATCACTTGTGATCAGGGATAATTAAATTATGAATTTAAGAAATGTTACTTGTAAATATGTGGAATGTTAATTATGAACAAATATAAATATCAAATCTTTACCAAGAAGAGCTATAATTAGTTTATGGTCTTGCAAAAAGTGTTTTAATAAAAAGCATATTTTTCTTTGTAAGTAAACAATATGCATCAATATGAAATTAACCTCCTATTTATGTAAAACAATTGGGGGAAAATGGGTAAGAAAAGAATTATTCAAGATTGCGTGCACATGTGACATACACTATCCCCTTCAAATGCATCAAAGATTACCTTAAAAAAAAAAAAAAAGCAATTGCCTCAGTTGTCAACTCCACACTCTACACTCTATAGACATCATTCCAACCAATATAGATAAGGAACTGTGTGTGTGTGTGCGCATATATATTAATTAAACATACACTCACATGTAAATTCAACAAGTCATGGCTTTTCCATCTACAACCAAATCATATATCGATCTAAATTGCAAAAGGCAACTTTTTTCTACCAACATTTAACAAAAGTAATCTAGATTCAATCAAACCTGACTATGTAAAATAGCTATTCTATCAAAAATTTGAAACCTGAAAATCATATAGTTCAGCATCACTAAGGGCATCATCTTTATCATGGTTACATGGAATAAAAATTCATTTCAAGACTCATACACATTAAGTCTTTAGAGCTTGTGATTCCTGATCAAATAACAGATTGTTGTTGGATGAAGAACAGCCATTTGGGCATAATAGAAAACTTCAGGTACACGTTACACAATCATCTTAAGAAACTACGATTTTCAATGTCAACAAAAATGTTCCACCTCACTAACTTAATAGTGATATTGATGCATTAAACACATAATTTATTAGCACCTTAGTAATATAAATCTAATGAGAGAAAAAATTCACAAAAGCATAATTCATAGATAGCTAGATATGCCTAAGTGCTGAACACTCAATGGAAGTTTCAATTCCCCAAAAGTGTTGCATTATTGGAGATGTCACTTGTTCCAAGCTGACTCGCTGATTATCATCTCTCAAATTTAGCTCACAACCAACCATTATAATTGGGACTTTTACCTATTCATTAGAATAACATTATTTTGTCAATCAAATATCATTAAGATCACATTATTCTGTCAGTCAAATTAAATATATACTTGTAAATGTCATATTCAGGAAAAAAACAGCTAAAGTTAGAGGCTACAATTTTCGGATAAGTGGCTGATCAAACAATTGCATCGGCCTATTTCAATTCTTCAGCAACTATATTACTATCATTAGCAATGGAATAAAGCCTTAATCAAGGATCTTGTGAGAAAGCCCAAAACATTAAAAATCAAGGATTAGTTAAATGCGGCAGTCAAGATCACGAGAAACCCAGATATTAGCTAAGCAATCCCTATGCTGCAATTGAATGCTCCCATGGAAAGATACAGTTAGACTAAATAAATCAAAAATGAAAAATAAATTGAATCCCATTAACCAATCAGAAAATATTCAATAAAATTAACCAATGAAAGAGTAATATTAAAATTAGGCTAAGGCCTATCAACTAATTAAAAAAATCTTTTTCAAACAAAGGAAAAAATAATTTTTCACTTTCTCTTCAAAATAAAGCATCTTCATTCTATATAGAAAAACACATGATTTCAAAGCTCTAATCACTTGAATTTTTTTCATTATTCAAAGAACCAAGATATAGTTGAAAGGCCTTGACGATAAAGCTGAAAGAAAGGATTACCCCATTTACAACTAAATAAAAATAACACCAATAAAGATGAGTAATTAAAAATTACTTGAAAATAAGATAGAGATAATATACAATATAAGCAAGGTTGAATCATGAATGTAAATTTGTGGTCAAATTATGAAGGGAAAATGACAATTAAGTCCCAAAGGAGTAATTAAATCAAGTGAGGTCCTAAGTAATTATAAAAGGCCAATGAAATCCCATGCTTTTTTTCACAAATCAGAGTTATGATAGAAATGACTAAAATGCCTCTCTGATTAAATATAACATATACACTCATCAGCTCCAACATTTGCCTCTCGATGTGTCTCTTTCTCACCATTAATGAGAACTGCATATAAGTGGTGGAGCTGCACGTTGAAGAATACCTATCCCTAAAACAAAGTTGCACTTGCAAGAGGTGGAGTTGCCTTAATTATTGACTCAAGGGAGCTCTTATTCTCTGCCTATGTGAGTTTGTTTGGTTGGTGCGTTTAGACAGGTCTTTTTTTTTTTTTGCAAATCCCTGCATCTGAACAAAAAGGTTGACTCCATTAAGGTCTGATTTCTTGCAAAATGACTCTCGGAAGGAAAATGATGGAACGCTTTTTTGCAACTAAACATGAAAGATTTTTTTTATTTCACGTTTCTAAAGATTCAGCATGAAAATTCGACATTTTGCAACTGAAAGTGTAAGAATTTATCATCGAGTGTCCATATTTTAAGATAGAACGTTGTCACTGTCTCACTGATGCAAAAATCACTGATATCAAAAGTAACTTGTTTCTGAGTGATATATTATTACATTTTATTTTGTTTATTATAGGTTGATATTATTGGGTATGATGGAAGGTAGTTGTTTAAAGGAAATGTTTTGTTATTTTCATTTTGTGGAGATATTGTAAAAGATATGCATGGAACAATGTATTATAATGGGGGGATTTGTAATGGAAGAATGATCAGAGAAGGAATGTCTCTTGAAGGACTTGTTAGATTGATTTCATCATGCTTGAATTGTGATTTAAATGGAATTGAGTTGAAGTACATAGTAAAATTTGATTGTAATGCTCTTTTAGACCTTAAAGATGATGAAGGGATAAATCAATTAATGAAGTTGAATGACAATTTTGCTCATGTGTACATCATTAAAAAGATACAGCAAAGTACAAAGGTAACAAGAGATTCAATTTATGGGTAAGTTTTTTTAATAGTTGCATGATTAATATTATGCTAATATGAATATGAATGGTAGTAATAAACATGATTTGAATGGAAATGCAGGGCGGGATGTTTAGTTAGGAATTCACATGCTACACAAGATCTTAAAGTTCTACCATGTGCAATACGAAGTATCCCAATACCAATGCCTGAGCTAAATGCAACAAAATGGAAAGATTTGCTAGTAGGACCTGGGCAGATTTTTGCGAGTGCTGATAATTGTAGACAAGCAATCTACAAGTATAGTATTACACACAGGTTGGAATATAAATTTGAGAAAAACAACACAAATAAAATAATTATAGTTTGCAAGGCAAAAAGATGTCAATGAAAGATAACAGCATTTCATTAAGGAAGTCAATGCCCTTACTTCATGTAACAACTTTCAAGAATGAGCACTTACATTCTGCCCAAGAAGACCTTGAAGTTTCTTACAGTACAAGGTACACACTAACTTTGTCTATAATTGATGACGTAGTAAGGTCTAATGTGGAAAAAAAACCCAATGAAATCAAAGCTGACATGTATAAAGACGATGGCATAAGTCTAACTTATTGTCAAGCCTTAATAGCAAAAGAAAGGGCAATGGTGGAAATAAATGGGCTTCCTGACCAATCATATATGCTTGTTCCTTAGTTGTGTTATAGACTAATGGAGACTGATGCTGACACTGTAGCAAAATGGGTGGCTTTTGAGAACAATAGATTTGAACGATTATTTATTGCATATGGTTGTTCCATTAAAGGATTCTTGCTTGGGGCTAGGCCTATTTTATATGTGGATGGATGTTTCATCAATGGTCCTTATTAGGGCACCTTACTAGCAGCTTTAACATACGATGCCGATAACGAGTTGTTTCCATTAGATTTTGCAATAGTTGGTAGTGAAACTCATGATGATTGGACCTGATTTCTGTAAAATATTAAAGATATCATTGGTTCACTATAGGTAACTATTGTTTTTGATAGAAATAATTCTATTATTGGTGTTGTTAAAGCCATATTTGGTGGCGATACACATGTATTTTGCTATCAACATGTCAAGGAAAATTTTAGCTATGAGTTTAACAAAGTTTGTAGGGGAATAAGAAGGAACAACAAGGAAGAGGCATAAAGTTGCTTGATCACATTGCTTATGCAAGGCATGAGCATGAATTTCATGTAGCCATGAAAAATTCGAGGATGTTCTCTCCATAATTAACAAGATGGGTTGAAAATCAAGGCGATATTGATCGGCGGGCACTATTGTTGTTCCCACTTCAAAGATGGGATAAGATAACAACCAACTTGGCTGAATCATTCAATGCATGGATTCGTGAGGAGAGAAGGCATAATATATGTTCTTATAAACGAGTATAGAGACAAGTTGAGCAAGAAATTTTTTA